AGGGATAGGGACCTGCCCACCTTTTCACCTACACATCCTGTCTGGTCTAGGAAGCATGCCCTCCCTCACCCGCTCCTCTCATCAAGACCCTTTCAATAACACAGTGAAGGAAAAACAGTCCCTTCTTAATCCTCCTTCTGTACCAGCCTGGCCATGCTTGATGCATCCTGTGCATTTGGGGTCACTCCGAGGCAGCACAGTCATGGGCCAGGTGCTTTTGGGAAGACAGGAGTCCCACACAGGATAAAAATATGTCCAAGTGAAAAGTCAGTCAGTCAGTCAGTCAGTCAGAAAGAGAACAAACTGCTTTTCTAGAGCTACTGAAAAGTAGGACAGATCATTGTAAATCTGTTATTTATAGAGGATAAGAAACAGAACATTCAAAAATCTGAGTCATACTCCAGCATTTTGACCCAACCAAGGGCCAGTAGACAGCAAATTAACACCCGACTTAATAATACTTGTATCAGTTCTGAGGATACAACAAACATCATTTATAGAAAATGGTATTTGCTTTAACCACCATTCAATTTTTGAGATGGAAGTTAAAGGAAATTTTTTTATCAAATCCTACAGATGATAATATTGAATTATTTACTATAAATTACATAGCATTATTTTCATAGTTGTCAATTTAGTAACAACTGTTCACTACATATTGTATCCTAGGCAGACTGACTCCTAGGGCAATGAGCAATACCAAATTTTTGTCTTTTGTAATTTACTTTCTACCAGTTAGGAGTAGAGTTAAAAAATACACATATCTTGTTGCAATTATGTGCAAGAAAGAAAAATAAAACACTGAGGTAAGAGGCATATGTAAGGCCAATAGGAAGCGCATGGACGGTTTCGTCCCCGTATCTGGGGGCTTCAGGAGCCCCACTGAGAAGGGGACCTCCAAGTAGAGCGTGGCAGGCCTGCTGAGCTAAGCTGCCTGGGCCTGGAGGAAGAGGTGCAAAGGGCCTGAGCCAGAAGCCTGCTGGATGTGTTCAGAGGAGGCTGAGTGGCTATCGCTGAGTGAGCAAGGAGGAAGGAGTGGGAAGGAGTCTCAGAACAACTGTGGTGGGGAGGCAAGGAGCCCTCTGAACAGAAGCTGTGGGAGGAGCGAGCCAGGGACTGCCCTAGCTTTCAGAAGACCCTGTGGCTGCGGTGTGGGAAATGGCCGAGGAGAGGCCCGGGCATGTCACAGAGAGCAGCCAGGAGCTATGAGAAGTGATTCAGCAGAGATCACCTGCTGAATTCACCTGACAGGGGTAACAGCAGTGTGAAGGAAGCGCTAAGCAGTGCTATTGGGTGTATTAAAGGCAAAATGAGAAAAAAGGAGCATGGATGACGTCAAGCCTTCCGGTCAAGCAAGTGCAAGTCTAGGAGAGGACTAGAAGGGAAGTGCACTTCTTTGAGGTGAAGGGCAATTTAGGCGTTTGGAACACCCATTCAAACAGAGCTGATAAGAAGGTAAGTCTGGAGTGAATGGAGAGAATGGGGTATCATCCGCACCGGACTGGCATTCTGTGTCACAGGACTGGAGGTGACCTAAGGTAGTGGTGGTAAATCTATGGTATGCGTGCTACAGCGGGCTCTTTACATCACTGAAAGGTTGGCCATCGCTGAGATAGGAAAGAACAGTGACAGGAGAGAGCAGAGCCATGGCTCATGTGTCAAGGATGGGAGATGAAGGAGCCAGCAAAGGAGAGACAACAGCAAACGCTGGGCTAGTGTCTGGCCACAAGAGGGGGACCCTCGAGGGACAGGATACATTCTCCAGGCACCTGGCTACTTCCTGTAGGAGTCTGGCTTCCCACACTCACAAACACAGATCAACCAAAACTGCTAAACAAAATTCCATGTCTCTAAAGTATCATCAGTATAATGGAGTAAAAATTCTTTTGAAAGAACAATGAAATTTGACTTTAGTAATTAAGAACCCACAAATAAAGATGACAAATTATCATCTATCAAAGTGGCCAAAACTTAAAATTCTGACAGTGTTAAGGAGGTTGGAGAAATGGCAAGTCTCTTCTGGGAAGCAATGTAAAATGCCTACAAAGTGGTACTGTTTATGCAAATTATAATAAAATTATAACAAGGCTCATAGCTCATGAGAGTACACAAGGGTGTTAAATGAAGTGAAGGGAAATCCTCAGTGTCTGCAAGCAGGGGAACTATGGCCAGAATAGGGATGAGCAAAGCTGTACCCTGTACATAACGCCTCATGACAGAATTCTTATAATCATCAGTTCTGGCGTGAACACATGAGTACATGTTATATGATCCTTTACATCCTTTTGTATTTTGGAAAACTCAAAATACTATTTATTTATTTATTTATTTATTGGTACCAGGGTTCAAACTCATGACTTGTGCTTTTCAGGAAGATACTTACACCACTGAGCTAAATCCCCAGCCTCAAATACTATTATTTTCTTATTCTCTTTTTGTTTTTTCAAATACTTTTTAAAAGCACAAAAAATAAGAAGAAACTAAAAGAGTATTTTTTTGAAACATCTGGATAATTATGTCTTACTACAAGCCTATAGTAAAGCAAAAGAGAGGAGGGCATTTTGTTGACATAAAAAAAGAACTGTAAGGCTCCCCAGATTTTAAATTTGTTAGATTTTACCACTTGATAAAAAATGGGAAACTTTGAGCACAAGTAAATACAGTAATTTATAACATTACACTAAAAAGGGGGGCGAAACAATCTTGTTTTATTATAATACTTAATCCTTGCCTATCAGTTTTGATGTATACAGTGGTACCTTGGGTCACAAACTTAATTCTTTCCACAGTTCTGGTCACAGAATATGTTTCATGATTTTACAATTTGGTTGCACCCATAATCATAGTATAAATTCTGTGACCAGAATCATGGAAAGAATTGAATTCGTGAACAGAGGTACCATCGTAATCTACAAGCAGCTTCTAACACTGCTTTGGTAATGAGATGAAAAACAGGACATGACCAGTCAGCCAGTTTAAACAATGCATGATAATTAAGGGAAACCACACTCACTCCTCCTATGGAAATTTAGAATATAAGTATTGCTTATTCTAATAATTAAGAGGAATCTATACATGGGTTCATTAGTTGATTTTTATAAGATTCATCTTAAAGATGAAGTAAACATAACAGTTTTTTTTTATAATAGCACTGTCTTTTACAGCTACATTTTTTAGACATTAGTGTTGTACCTACATCTTTTAACTTTCCTAGTCAGTGGAAAACTCTTCACATACTTTTTCTAGCTTGCTACATTTGAATTGCTCTTACTACTTGGGCAACAAGAAATGAGTCACTTCTCCTGAATATTTAGACATAAAAATTTGGGCTGATTCATTTAATCTTTTATTATTTATCAGACAGTATTGAAAGAGTTGATACAGTAACCTTTATGTTTCATGATGGCTTCATTTTCTCTTTAGAAATTTTCATTATACAAGACAACAAAAATTAAGAAAAATGCAGGAGGCAGGTAAATATTAAATACAAGCAGTTTTAAAATGCAACAGAGTATTTCTTAAAGTTCTCTTTGTAGATAGTTCTGTATATTTCTTATTTTTACAAATAAATAATTCCATTCTTTGATTATACAGAACAAAAGATCAGATTTAATTTCCCTCCAAATTGGTCAGAGACAAGTATTTTTGTATGTTGAGCTAGCACTTAAAAAAAAAATCAACCAGGTAATTTTTCAAAATAAATGTTTCTGTCATTTCTTTCAGCAAACAAATGTTTTCTTTCACAAATACTGATGCAGCCCAAGTGATGCACAGGCTGCGCTGAGCTGCCAGCCAGGCAGAGGCCAGGGCATGGCTGATCCAGCTCATGCTGCACTGTATACCCTGGTGGAGAGATAAGGAAACGCGTAGGTAATCACAAAACAGAGGTAGAGCGGGACTGAATGCATTCAGAGAGTAAACTCCAACAGGAGCAACTGCTTCCGCAAGTGTGTGGAAGGGACAAGAGCCAGGGCCAGGATGGCTCTACACTACACTTTAAGGGAAAGAGCATACCAGAAGAACACAGCAGGTGGAGAGTGGGAGAGGTGATTTAAGGAGGGCTGACTTAAGGTGGAGAGCAGACGCGCTGTTATGTAAGCAGGAAATTCAAGCATCAGCGTGGGTAAGAACAGGAAATTAGAAGGGTAAAGAATCAGGCAGGTGGCAGACAGTGAAGGACTGCAATTAGAGGTTGCGTGGTTCATATGTGTTTGGTACACAGCTGGGAATCAATGAAAACCTTTTGATTTTCCATGGAGCAACACAGATTAATTTGACATCAGTGTGGATTGGTAGGAAGGATGGACAAAAGTTCAAGGTGGGGAAACTGAGTAGGAGGTTATGGATGCAATACAAACAGTACATCGTAAACAGCGTTTATGAAAAATACGCTATAAAGCCTTACCTGATTCTTCTGTATCTTGTTCATCTATTAAAGCCACAGACACACCTAAATCCACACATTTCTTGCTATGTGCCTTGGACTTCATGTGTTTTGTCAGGTTTCCTTAAGGAAAAAAGAAGGTTTACTAAGCTTACATAGTAACATTTTGCTATTAGCTTAACACTGGCAAATTCCATTCCTCCATAAAGCAAAAGCACTGACTATGGTTCAGCAACTGCAGTGACTAAATCTGGATACAAGAAGACATTGATAACTACAGACTGCAACAACTCTGTTCATTACTAGTAACAGTGTGTCTTTTCCAAATCAGCCTCCTGAACTTTGTGTCTACTTTGGCCTCCAGGCTTTCATTCCTTTTTCCTTATTTCTCAGAACATGGTACACATAAAGCCCCTTTCAGAGAGCTCTGTGCTGTAGTTCCTGGACTGGGAATTCTCCCCCAGCTGTGTCCACTGGCTCTCACAGTCGTTTGTATCCTTGTACGCGTTTTAGTTTTCACTGTAAGCGATTTTCAGCCAGATCATTTTCCATGCAGTCCTACGGAAACGGGTTGTAGGAACATCTTTCACTGCAGTCTCCCAATTGCTTTTGCCTGGTAACTTAATAGTTTTGGTGGTTTCAAAACACGTTGTTGCCACCTGTCTGTTTGGATGGCATAGGTAAAGGGTTCTGCTTTTAAGCAGAAATTTTATTTCCCCACAGGACACAATGCCAAGGAAAGTGAGGGCCAAGTTTAATTCAGGTTCCTCAGACTGCATCTTAGAACAGGCACTAAAACCCCAGATCTACATGTATAAATCTGGCTTTCATTCCTTATGGATTTTTAGGTTTTTAAAAGTATGTGCTTACTACCCTGCTTTTGACTGTTTTATTTCTTCTACCTGGGAATCTGCTTTTTAAATTTTTGAAATGGTGGGGAAAGGTTTTTGAGTCTATGATAAACTACATTGGATCATTTAAACATATTCTAAGCAGCACTTCTGTATGTATACACATGGAAAGGGAGAAAGAATTCTGCTTAAGAATTTCACTTCAGGTACAGGCTGGACATCTGTTAACATGTGTCTGAGATGTTTCTCCAGCAGTTGATACAGCAGTCTCTGCAAGTGTAACCAAGGTCACTGGGAACCACCGTCTACCTGCCCCCCATGATCACAAATGCAAGGGGACAAATCAGATTCTTCTAAGGACACCAAGCATCTTTTGTAGAGAAAACACTGCCAACAAGGTCAAATCATCTCTTTCAAGGAGCAAGGGTGAATTAGTAGTTTAAACATAGCCTTTAGAAAAATAAAAAGTATTTAAATCATCAGTCCAAATTGTGGACTTGTAGTAGCAAAAGCCCACAATGATTGCTTATTTACAGTTCCAATTTCTTGACAAATGCACTGAGTCTATAACACAGACCACACTTGTGTAAGCTGATTTTAGCACCAGATAGTAGGTTCTTGTCAACCTACCACACAGCATCCTAGAGCTGAATGCTCAGGGATCTGTGGCAGTGAGAGGCTGGCTGGACCACAAGCATCTTGGTCCCATCAGACACTGACCTCTGTGATTTTGGAAACACTACCTAGCTTAAATAGGTTTTTGACATTTACAGTAAATATATTTAAATCATGCAGCAAATATAGCAAAACATTAACACCTACTAAGACAATGAGTACTGGTAGTGTACACAAATTTTATTATTCTCTAAGAGGTTCTAATTTTTCATATTAATAAAGTTTAAAAAAATAGTTTAGCCACTAACGTGGCTGACATTTCCACTTCTAAGTCAAAATGCTTTCAGGGCAAAAACAATATTATAAATCAAATTAAAAGGTCCACTAATAGTTTCTTTTCAAAATACTTTTGTTCCCTAAATAGGCCAATACAGGTTATCTGCTAAGAAGTTAATATGTAACTAGGCAAATCTGGGATGTTTTTAATAAGCATATTTGCTTATAATTTGAGCTATCGTTTATTATAAATCAACTGAAATAATTTAAAATAAATTTGCATTTAAGGATGAAAAAGTATATTTAAATGCAACTATCCCCTAACAATAATCTTATATATTAACGGACTGATGTAACAGGTAAGTTTTCTGATACATTTAATAAACACGCACCTAAACCCTTTGGACACATTGAAAGGTTTTGTTTCTGAATTATCCAGCTTTCTGTAACGTAACAGAAAATGGTCTACATCCTACAGAGACACAACCTCATTGCATATTTTGTGCTGACTGGTCTTTAAAGCAAAATCATTAAAATAAATCTATTACAATTATTTTGAAAACCCACTCAGGAAATAAACTAAAGAGGACATGCGGTGAGCTACAGATTTGTATGCATCATCACATGCATCAAATGTTAGCACTATGGACCACTCCTGCCCTAGGACTTTGCTATCTTTGCTGGCCACATCTACATAGCACACTGTGGCTTCTGCTCATCCTCAGATGCATTCAATGAGAAGTACAGCTAGTTGAAAAGCGTAACAAACTAAATGAAATTGGGTAAACTCTACAACCTAATTAAAAACAAAAATAGGTCTAATATTATTTAGTTAGCTATGTTTAAAAACTGTCTTGAGATTTCCTTGACATAAATTTACAAAAGGTTAGACTTTTGAAAGCTCTCAAAAATGAGAGCTATCTTGGTAAATACAGGGAAAAACATGAACTTGCAAATTTTTTTATCAACCCACTTAGCTATGATAGTCTTGTCAAATAAATATTTATCATGTAATTTCGGCTATGCATGATGTGCACACCTGTAATCTCAGCACCAGGGAGGTTGAGGCAGGAAGATCACTGAATGTGAGGCCAGACTGGGCTACACTGAGTTCAAGGCCAGCCTGGATTTCATAGTGTGACCCTGTCTCCACAAAACAGAAAACAAAAAGTAATTCATGACTTATCTGACAAAACAAAAAATGTAACACGAGTTCAGATAGGCAGTACATACAGCATCGACACTGTCAAAGGATGAGGCTCACTTTTCAGAGGTCAGTAAGCTTTGCTAGCCATTTAGTAAACATCTGTATAAAATCTTGCACGATGCTGTTTTATTAGACTAAGATTAATACATAGGGACTCAAAATATTCCTCCTTACCAAGACATCTCCATAGTTTCATCTGGTTTTCCACCACCAGCTTGTTCTTCCTTTCTTTTAGGAATAAAATTTCCGAAATACCCTAAATCCTTTGCTTCATTCTATGGAAAACTAGTCATTTTCTCATGCCTTTTTTTTTCTTCTTATAATTGGTAACATTATTCTGCACTCAGTAAATCTTACACTAGTAATGCTATTTGGTCTTCTGAATGGGTTTCTGTTCTTATATTGGAAATTAATAGCTATTTCTTTGAGCACAGGGTCAAAACCAGTGGAAAGGAAGACATCAGCTTAAGGCATCTGAGCTCCTACCAGAGCTCTGATTGAGGACTGAGGAAATCACCCTCAAATGGCGTCTGTCTCCAGGAGGCCCACATCACTACTGAAGAGCAAGAGTATTCCTCCCACCCCTCTGACAATTGGGACACCAGAAAAATTCAAAGCTATCTGTAAAGAACACTTTGTTTTCCATCATTGTTTCAGATACTATTAGCATTTTAAGAGAACTATTTGAAGCTGTTTAGTTGTTACATGTAATAACTTTAAATATCAACAAATACTAGCCAAAAAATAGGTTTTGCTAGTTGATAAATTTTTATAAAGTATCTATGAATTCAACTAATATGACAGAAAAAAGTCAATGCTAACTCAAAAACATTAAAAAGTTTCTATAATGTACATTTTCAGATTTTTTTTCTTACATATTTGCATGATTATATGTTTGCTGGAGAGTCTTACTTTTTAAAGAGAAGCACATAATGGGGCTGGGGATTCAGCTCAGCAGCATAAGCACCTGCCTTGCAAGCAGGTGGTCATGAGTTCGATACCCAGTACCAATAAAAAAAAAAAAAGAAGAGAAGCACATAAAATTAAACACTCAAATAACAAATCCTGATATGATGATTTATATAAAAGGAGCCCAATGAAGAAAACAAATACTTTACAGTAGCATATCCATTATGTATAATAAAAATCTTACGCAGGGCAAAATTACTTTATAATACTGGCCTATCAGTTAAATAAAAACATATAAAAGAAAGGATGCCAAATATAATTGTAATAACTAGTTCCGAGATCTTCTTGTAAACAATAAATAGAAATGTTAAAGAAATCTGAACAACAGTGTTCGGGTTAAAAAAATGTTAACAGAAAAACATATCTATGTACATCTAAAATTAGATGATAAAACATGGGTGGAATGATTACAATAGTTTACTGTCATTATTTTAAATCTCTAAGCTTTGAGGACTCAAATGAATTTACTTGTAATCATAAAGACCTCCTTTTTCTTCTTCAGCCCAAAGTAAGTATTTTTGAAAATCTATTAGTCATCATGTCGTCTAATTGCAGTTTGGGGAATAAAATCTAAAAAAGGCAGTTGTTCCTTTTAAATGTTATATATGTATTTTCTAAAAATATGTAATTAGCTTTTTTCCCCAAAGGTTCTGGAAACATAAAGAAAACTGCAATGCTGACAAGATGTAATTCAGTTAATTTAAGCTACTGTATGGTACCCTTTAAAGAATATGTAAAGCCATCTTCTTCACCTATGTAAATGCATACAAATAGGACCTTGAAGCAATGGATAGCCCATACCTTTTGTCTTAAAGGAGAAGTTACAGTAAGTGCAGTGATAAGGGCGAACGTCTGTATGGGTTCGTATGTGTTTCTTTAACATGCTGGGTTTCTTACACCGTATTCCACATTCTTCACAAATGTACTTTCCTCTTCCCCTGCCTCGGACATACACATACTCTTCATTTGATTTATATCTAATATGAAGAGAAAGATTATATTGAACACTATGTGTTTGCAAAAAATTCATGATTAAAATTCTATTTACAAAAAACCCCACAACTTTTATACTCAGCATATAAAAAATATACACAAAGGTCAGTAACAGAATATTCTAATTTTTCTTATTAACATACTGTTCTAAAAGCTTATTCCAATCAAATAAATGTATTCAATATTATGTCTAACTTCAAAACATTTTCTTCATCTTAAGATACTTGCTTAAAAGTTTTCTTTGCTGCTAAATTCAATCACAGTAACTCTAAGAACTGAAATACTTCTGGACTTCACTATAACTATAATTGATTTTTGCAATGTTTTTCTCATATTAACATACATAAAAGACATCAATGAAATAACAAAATGTTCATCTGTCTCAGAGCAGACTGCTCCAATTCATTCCTTACTGTAAGTCAGTGTGAAATGAGGGCTTGCTGTGAAATTTTAGTTCACAGCTATCTTTGAGTCCCTCCAATGTTTCTGGTCATCATTTTCTCCATCCAAATGGTGTTAATATTATCTTGCCAAATAGGTTCTTTTATAATCCCCCAAACCATACAACATTTAAATAAAATTGGTACTCCTAATTCACATAAAAATGTACATTTAAAAAGTAAGTTTAAATGTACATTTAAGAAGTAAACTTTGTACTTGCCCTCCATCAAATATTTTAATTCTTCTTGGTTCACTTTTGATTAACGAATTTTCTTTATCTTGCTCACTGTTAATTTCAGAGACATCTTTACTGCCGAATTCAACTACTGTGGACTTTTGAATACCTAATGCTCTCTGAAAGGAAAAAAAAAAAAAAAAAAAAGAAACTAATTTAATACAACTGAAAACACAAACATGCTGAAATTTCATTGGAAATTTAAATACCATGGAATATAAATCATTACTTAAGGAAATGAATTTCTAAGAAGTAACAGACAAAAAGTTATGTTTTATCTTCAGTCATCTGTCTAAATCAATACAAAATGATTCATTTTATCACATTTTAAATAATTCTACCACAGTCTCTGACACCCTAAAACAAACTTCCCACTTTTGGTATTCTACAAATTTTAAGAGGAATTTTTCTTTCTTTCTTTCTTTCTTTTCTTTCTTTCTTTCTTTCCTTTCTCCCCCCCCCCTATTTATTTATTTATTTATTTATTTATTTATTTATTTTTGTGGGATGGTGGTACTTGGGATTGATCTCAAGGCCCTGAGCATGCTAGGCAAGCACTCTACCACTGAGTTAGGTCCTACCTCACTTTGAGATAGGGTCCTGCTAAGTTGGCCAGGCTAGCTTTGAACTTGTCAACCCTTTTTCTTCATGCCACGCCCCCCCCCCCCAAGCCTCACCTTTTCAAATGTCTGGCCTTAACAGGAATTTTTATAGGCTATCCATGCTTTATTACATTTAACCACTTAAACTGTAAATCAAATATACTGCTTACTGGGTTTATTCATTGGAGATGGGAAAAAGCTAGTTACCTAAGGATAATATCTCAGATCTTCAAGAATCATCACTAAATCTCCTCAGCTTACACCCACTCTAAAGATAAAGCAGAAGCTCCACTAATAGTTAGCTTACCTTCTCCCCATTATTTTAAACCTCAAGTACAGTTGCTCTCCAGATCTGAAAGTTCCCTGAATACTGATCACTTGTGAGATCCAGGTCAAGTTAGGCTTGGCTTGATAATAACTAAGTCCTTAGAAAAATGCAGTGAACATCCAAATGATAAACAATGTGTTTTCCCATAGGAAACACAATTTAAGATTTTATGCAAGACTCTACATCACGCACTCCTAACAATGAGTTTTCTCAACCATCATGTCCTCCAATTTCAAGCATCCTCATAAGGCGGTCTTAGAGTTGGGCCATCCCACCTGGTAGGGGAAGGTAGTAGTAGTAGGCTTGGTAACTCAGCCTTTTGGCTAAACCTAACATGAGGGAGAAATTTCTCCAATCAAAGGCTTTTTTATATAAATTTTTGAACAATTACACTGCCAAGTAGAAAGCTATCATCCTGCAAAAATGGCTTAGTACCACTAAGCAACAGGAGTATGTGTATAATGGCTGAGGTCTGGTGTGGCTTCAATCAAGTATTCTGGGAAGTCCTTGTCCTCACAAGAAGACAGAAAAGCTGCAGGCAGGCAGTGCGGAGGAGCCACCACACCAACAGCTAAAAGCACTCCTGTCTCGGTTCTTCCTGACCAACAGGTCAGGCTTCCCCACAGGAGGAACATATGCACATACCTTCCTTGTGACTTTATCGCTTTAACGATAATCCTCTTTCCTTCTCATCAGTATCAAATCCCCCTTTATCTTTTGGTTACTTTCCTACTATTAAATCCAGTTTTTAATCTGCTGATATTACCAGTTAGTTAAAGTGTCCAAATCACTGTACTTTGCTCCAGTCTTAGTGTTTCGACAATCCCTGGGTATCAGGTGTTGCTGAGGCATTTTTTTCCCTTAGAAAATCTCTTCATGTATGGCATCTGCACTCTTCTTCCATTTGGGGTGTGGGTAAGGATCAAGCAGCACTCAATCCTTCCAGGCCATCTGCTCATGAACTGAAGTCTCCAGTGTCATTACAACTGCTCAGCTTAGACACTTCTATTTGCTTTCATCTGTATTTGATCTCTCTACCTGAACGACTCTTGCGGTACACTGGCCTATGTGTCACTTTCTCTTGATTCTCTTTCTCTATAACAGTTTCTTTCAGCTTGCAGTATAGACATTCTTTATCTTTTTTAACTCTCTAAACAGAACCTGAAGAATCCTTCTAAGCCTCTCTTCTTCTCTATATACTCTGAGCAATCTCATTAAGTGTATCTATGCACTGAAGAATTTCTATGCCCTCCACCTTCAGCTCTCTCCTGAATGTCAATCCAGGTATTTCCAGATGTTTCTTTTGTGGTACTTGACAATGAAGCAGACTTTGCTTGTTTTATGCTGGGGATCAAATTCAGGATCTCATAACATGCTGAATACACTGTGTAACTGAGCTACACCCATAACCTAGAAAAATCATCTCTCATTTGGATATCAGGAATACAAATGGAATTCTGCTTAAATTTTTATGATTATATCTAAGACTCTGATTTAGCTGGTTAGAATATGAGCATTTAAAAAGCAATTTCCACAAATGGTTTGGATGTACCTCCCTTCACTGAAGAGCCACTGAGGTTCTCCACTGTAAATGCTTTGATTTCTAAGTTTCCAAAAGCAAACTAATGTTACTATTTCAAATTTACAAAGCCTCTGGTCATGCCAGACTTCATGCAGTTCTTTAAATGACCCAAATGTCTTAGTTTCATGTCATTTAGTGGTCTATAAAAATTTTAAATTTCTTGTTCCTTTCTGGAGACTCAGCTGAAATACCACTACCTTTGGAGTATCTTCCTATATCCGTACTTCCCTTCCTTACTGGCAATATTAAAGACTTCTTGTGTTAGACTTGAACATATTTCAGCTATCACACTGACATTCGAATATTTTCTTCTTTATAGTTATATAAATGTTCATGAGTCTGTATTATAGCTTGTGAGCTTCAGAAGTCAAAGATGTACACAATCCTGAATGTCTAGAGTTCAATGTTGATAAACTCATCGATGTATTTACTTAATCACTTACATGATTTTTTTCCATTTTATAAAGCTATTTGAGATTTCATAAATTATTCAAATTTAGTTTCATGACTTTAAATTATACTATAAATCATATTAACTTATCAAGCATATAAGTTCATTACTTTTTGAATCTTCTCTGTAGCACCAACGAGTCTCAGATCTGTGTGGACAGAAAGCAGGGGTGGGTGTCGCAAAGGGACAGGAGTTAGTACCCACAGGCTAGGATAGAATGGCCCTCTGCCTGTACGACACAAGAAAACATGTCATTTTTTGACTATCCACACCTCTGTCTTCCCTGCACTAGCAGTGACAAAGCAAAACCTTAATCTCTTCTCACATAAGCAATGAAAACAACTTTAACAAAGAAAATATCGAAATAAAACTGTGATTATCCATACCATTACAGAGACTTAGCACAGTCAGCTGAGGGAAAAAAATGTACTAAGAGTAAGCTTTCATTCTGAAAATGCTTTCAGAAAAAGGACTCCATGTAACACTCATCAGTACAATTCCCAAGGCAAATATATCACTCTGATTTTCAAGTAACTACACACAGTATAAGTTGTCATTCAAGACTAAAATACTTCTAAGATATGTAAAGGTAGCAAGATATGTTAAAACTAATTTGTATAAAACATATTTGAACATAAATTATATTTCAAGTACCTTGCTTAAGTTGCTTTTCCATTTGCTTGAATAGACCAATAAATCTGATTTGGAATGGGTAGTTATTGCTTGACAATATAATGACTTTCCAGTCTTCTGTTTTGAATTAAGGAGAGAGAGTGCAACTTTTGTAGGCAAACCGAGCGGATTTGGGTTACTGGAGCTTACTGCCCAATCGGTATAGGCTGAAACGTTTTGATTATTCTGAGGCAGAGGCAATGCCTTCTGTCTTAACAGGTAACACCAGGTGAAGCTGGTAGCAGTCTTGAGGCTGGGGAAAGACAGTTGTTGCATGTCTGTGATGCTACATAAGGGAAGAGTGGGAGTTGGCAGCTGACTTTGTCCTTGAATGTGTACTCTATCACCTTGATTTTTAACCCCTGGAGATGTCCTTTCTTGGTTACTGTCTATTGATGTCAAAGGAGAAACATGGGTATTTTCTAAATGCACAGGAGAATTTTGAACTGTTACAGTTAATGATGTGGATGGCTTAATGGTCTCAAATTCATGCATTTCACTGATAGGTTCTGTAACTACAAACTTACAATGTTCTGATGAACTGTCAGTTGGCAAAACATCTGGTAAATTAACAGCCTCACTAGTAGTTTCAGGCTGAGAAAAAACATCCTGCTCCAATAGGACACCTTCGAGGAGCTCTGTAGTACAAACCTGCCTCACTAAAACTGGTTTCTTCTGCTTAGTGACTTCATTAGCCCTTGAAGCGAGTGGTTCTACGGGTCGCACGTCTGTGGCACAAACAGCTCCATTCTCATCTTTAGCCCGTTTCTGATGCTTTTCCATGGCAATGTCTAAACTGTTTGCTGGGGAGAGCATCCTTTTACTGGAGGCTGAAGATTCTTGGGGGGAAAGCCTACCCACAGACATTTTCTGAGTCACAGGCAAGGATTCTGTGAGAGAATTTTGGTCTATCTCTGAAAAAATATTTTTACAAACAAGTTCTTCCTCTGGGTTTGGCAGAGCATTCTGGTGATCTTTCTGTGATTTTGGCATGGCAGTTTGTTCTTCACTGACTGGCACTATACTTTGATTAGTCTGGCAATTTGGTGTGCTGGACAGATCTTGGGTCACTAGGATTCGTGGCAGAGATGAGACAGTGGCAAAAGAGTAAGTGGGAACATTACTCTGCAGGTGTAAAGGCAGCATGAAGGATGGTGGCACCTTCTGTGTTTGGCTGCTAGGTAACCCAAGCTCCAGCAGTGGCAGAGGACATGAATTAGACGCAGGACCTACTAATTTGGCCGGCAAGGGTACTGAGGTTGTGCATAAATCTGCTCTAGCTGGATCTAAGAGAACTTGATTTGGCAAAGGACATACTGGATTAGAAGAGCAAGATGGGCTGGATGTGAAAATGTGACACTGAAGTTGGTACTTGGGAGCAAAGCAATCCTCACTTTTAGAAGATACATTGAGCATGGAATGTGCATCTACTTTGTCACTCTGTGCAGACCCCTGCAGAGACAGCTGTGTGCTCTGGTAGCTGAGAGGTGTATGGGCCTGATTTAACAAACTGACACCAAAAAGCTGCTTAACAGGAAAGACCTTAGCAGAGTTGGAATTGGACATTTCTGCTGGCAGATCCTTAACTTGAGATTGGGAGTGCAAAGGATTCACAGGGAACTCAGCCAAGGATGTACTAGGGAGCTGAGGACCCTGAAGAGGTCCTGCATTTGTGCTGGAAGGAAGAATACTTTGGAAAGATGATGAGTTAGCAGGAGAGAGATGACTATCTGGAGCTATGTTCAAAGAGATCTGCCGGATCAGTGGGCCCCTCCGTCTCTCTAAGAGAGGCACATGTCCAGTTACTCCTGTACCAGAAGGGGCAGCTGAAGGTTGTGAGTCAACAAGTGGTGTAGCTTGGGTTGGAGTTACGCTGCCACAGTCAAAGGATTTACTTCTGAATTCAGAGACCTCCATAGATGCCTGCATGCAACTGATCTGTTCTGAAGCAGCACGCCTCATTTCCCGGTGACTTCCAGGCACGCTCAGTGTATTTGAGCCAGGTGGAATGAGAAGAAACTCAGCTTTGTTTGGGAAATCGATTTTGGAAGAAGCCTCCATTTTAGAGACATCCTCTATGTCCAAGGAGGCTGAGAAACTTGAAGCGTGGGACAGGCTGCTCTCCCTGCTCAGGCTCCGAGACAGAGTGGAGTCGAAACTAGATTCAGTGGAAGAATGCTCTATCTCAGCCAGCCGGAGTCGCTTCTTTTTGGGTGGCAGTTTCTCTGTTGGCAATTTTGACAAGGTTTCACTGCGCTGAGGCCAACTGAACTTCTCCAATTTGTCTTGATCTTGGCCCTGAGCTTCAGGGTCCCGGTCTGGCTCTTCTGTGACCAGAATTTCTGGGACTTGGATATTGGGCTGCCGGACAAGTCTCGAGGTCTGTCCTGCCACATGCCGTTCGCTTGAGAGCTTTCTGGAGTTTTCCCGGTGCTCACCTCTGACAGTATCAGACAGTGCAGGCTGGTGAGGATGCGGCACATCCCCAGAAGGGTGCCCTTCCTCTGGGGAGATTCCTATTGTTTGCAGAGAGCCAGGCTTCCCAGTTAGACTCAGCTCCTGGAAAGACCCTGGGGAGTCCCCCTCAAAAGGTTCCACCTTGTCAAAGGAACTCGGTCTGCTCAGGGAGTTCGTATGCTGGATGACGGAGATGCCAGCACCTTGTCTCTTCACCTCCAGCCTATCTGGGGCAGCTAAACCCATTCGCTGCTCTACAATGGGAGACAGGTTTGGGTCCACGGTCTGCTCCAGGCCCCTGGCAACAAGCTGAGTCTGCGAGTTCTGCACCTGCCTGTTTCCATGCTGCTGGTTATCTGTCATGGTGACAGTGTGCTGAGACAGGCTGAGACTGGAGCCCAGAGCATTCTGAAACAGAAGGGCTTCAGAGCCCTTTGGAGAAGTTCCATTTTCGCTTTGCTGAAGTTCTTCATCATCGCCAACACTTTTCATCTTCCTCCTTTTCCTTATTTGGGGCGTCTGTTCCCAGACACCTGTGGACCCAGCGACTTTGTAGTGCAGGATCTGAGGCTGTGCCCCACTAGGAACAGGGCTGTGTTCAGACTCTCGCATTATGACCTTTGTTTTGGGCCCGTGTAACTCTGAACAGTAAAATTTCTTGTGGTTTTCGAAGTTTTCCAGCTTTCTATACCTGTTTCTACAGGTTTCACACTCAAACATGGTTCCTCGGCCTTGATGGGACTTCTTCTTTTCCAGTTGGGAGCCTGGTGCCAAGGCTTTGTTCCGGGCTGCCACAGGCTCACTCGTGGTGTGACAACCTGCATAGCCCTCATCCAAGGACTGTCCAGGCCCAAGAGTATGATTCTCACTGGCTGATGAGTCTTCCACTGCCGCCTGCCTGACCAGAGTACGGGGATGTCCACTTGGAGGTATAGAAGCATTAGGTCCTGATACAAACACGTCATCATACAAAGAGCCAATTTTGTCATCAAATGACTGACTTCCTCTCAGTGGGTGAGGGGGAGGAATTATATTTGCAGGAACTGCTGAATAGCCTGTGGTTGGCATGGAGTTACTTCTTGTGATAGGTAAACAGTCCAGGGAAGGTACTGACAGAAGAAACACTTGCTTTGACTTTTCGGTGGGGGTAAAGGGGGACTTTGGTATGTCAGAACTTGAACTTGTCCTCCGTCCCATTGGTTTTAAATCAAACTGGAAAGAATCTTTAAATATGTATGATTTGGGCGAATCAATACTTCCTCGTCTGGAAAGAGAAGTTCTCCGGGGCTTTACACTGTCTAGCTGCTTATCATCTACCAAGGCTTCATTGTCAGAGATAAGCTTTGATATCCGTTCCTCCAGTGTCTTCGTTGCCAGGGGTGGCCGCATCTGGCCTGGTAAGAGCAACGGCTTCTCTCCTGCTGGAAGGGCACAGGATGCTGGTGTGCTGACTTGAGGCGCAGAAGGACTGCTACTCTTGGCTGAGTCTTGTTCTGTGGTGGGAAAGGTTCTGGGAAAAGGTGTTGGTGGGCTCACTGTCTGATCAGCACTTTCAGAACGTGAAAAGTAACCAGAATCTGTACTTCCTGAACTCCGAGGGCTCAGAAGTAGCTTCCCTTGCTGTTCCTGGGAGTAATCAGTAGCCTGCTGTCTTTGCAGCTGGGCATGAACTGTTCCTCCATGACAGTCCTGCTTTCCTTCCATCTGACCCATGTCCACTTTCTGCTGGGTCTTTTCATCATTCTGCAGGGAAGTTACACAGGCTGACTGGGACAGTACATTGGCTGCCTGAACAGTCTGTCTCTGTGCACTACAGAGCTCAGGCTTAGAGCTGACCATCTTTGGGCTGTCAATTCTTAACGGAGACACACTGACAGCATGAACCACAAGTTTCGGCAATTCTGTCATGGCTTGTGATTCAGAAGATCTGCCTTGTGAAAAGTCATCTGCCACATGATCTGGATTGCCTGGAATGGAACCTGGTTTTGGTAACGCTTCAGAACTGGATATCCTCTTCATTAGTTGCATAGGCTGCAGCTCCAGGGTACCAGGGTCATTCTGTCTGCTGTCAGAGGAGCCCTCCTCCTCACTCTCCCCACTGTCCTCTACATCGGAATGGACACTAAGTGCTTTGGAGGACTCTTGGGACAAGAACAAGCCACCAGTATCTGGCTGCAAGACAAGACCCAGTTTGATAGTATGTGCATGGGACTTTTTGTGCTTATACAGATTACTTTTAGTCTTAAATGAAAATCCGCAGGTCACACAGGGGTAGGGCCTCTCTCCAGTGTGGGAGCGGATATGTTTTAAAAGCACACTAGGCTTTGCACAAGCTCTATTGCAATACTCACAAATATATTTTCCTTGCTTTTTTGGCTTCTGATCTTTCAGAAGGAGATTGCACATTTGTTCTACACTTCGATTAACAACAGAGGCAACATGAGTTGGATTATAAAGTGGCAGGGGAGGTGACTGGGTAGAATTAGCTGTACTTATGGATACAGGTGAAACAGAATCCACTTGCTGGTTTGGAGGAGTAACCTGAGATCCGCTGGAAGATGCAGTGAGACTGATGGTTGACGTCACCGCTATATTATAAACCTGTTCAAGTTTGGTGCCCTCTTGGTTTTGCAGGTTCGTCAGTGATCCCGTGAAACCTGAATGCCTTGGAATCTGCTGATTGTGATTTGGTTTGGAAACAAAGTGTTTGTGTTGATTATCTGAAAGAAAAACTGACTGAACTTCCCCCTGTTCATTTTGCTGAGGGGCTGACACTTGCACTGGGTATGAGGTACAAGGAGAATACTGTGACTCGGCAACAAATTCTTGTGAAGTCAGATTTTGGACATCCGCTGAACTGTTTTTTAATTTAGAAGGGGATCGTACAGTTTTATTTGGTCTCAGTTTTTCCGTCTTAATTGCACTAGCTGAGCCCTTTTGTGAAAAGGTGCTCAGTTCTGGCTCCATTGCTTTCAGTAAGACATCAAATGCAGTGTTCGTGTACACAGGGGAAGTAGTACTACACTGAGAAGAGATACATTCACTAGTGTCAGTCCTGGCCTTACTGGACGAGGAGCTCGCGTCCCACTTTGCATGGAAGCCACTGAGTGTGGCTGGGTCAGAGCCTTCTGACCGCCATCTCCGCAACTCAGCTGGGTGCTGCAGGGATGCAGGCTTCTTCGGGGAGGCAGCGTCTTCGGGGCTTGAGGCTTCAGTCCTGACCCCTGGTCTGTCTCCGTTCTGTTTGGTTAGCTGCTCCCCATTTTTTACAGGAATACAGATCTGTTTCTTTTGAGACTCCAAAGCACTCTGCAAAACACCCAAAGATGACCCCTCTGTGTTTTGCTTATGTTTTGCCTGAAGAGGATTTCTCAGGGGGGATTTTGGTATTTTCTTCAGATGATTTTCAGTGACAATCTTTTTCCGTTTCACACCTTTCAGGGATTCTGAAGCTCCTTTAACACCAGACTCTAGGAGTTCTGCTGAGAAAAAGAGAGAAGACCTTGTAAAATTGTACATACACCCACAATAGTTTCCCTTAAAACTAATTAAGATTACTATCATGTGAGCATTATAACAGCTGGAGGCAACTTCAGAAAGTCTATTTCCATAAACCTATATTCTAACATTCTGGCAACATAAAGAATGTTGTTAATCAAAGTATGCAAGCATACACACAGAGATATCAGAGTGCATTTCTAGGATGCTACATTCCTTTCTGAGGAAACTGGTCCTGGACAAGATCTTTCACAAGTGAAGAACTGTCCTACAATTGAGCATGGATGATGTTGACACTATAGCATGAAAAGGCTGTCCAACAGAAGAGGAATCATAATCACTTTGAGCTATCTGATCACACTTACGATCTTTGAAAGCAAGATGTTCAGTAAGTTTCGAAACAGAAAATAACATTCTAATGAGAAAAGGGCTATTAAATAAATAATAAGTGCAATGAAAATACTGTGGATGATTGTGACATATTGGTTGGTGGAACCACAACTACTGATAATATAGCAATTATATCAATGGATGGGAAATTATGCAAGTAAAATAATCCACTGATTTAGGATCTTCATCGAAAAATTTCAAAGTCCTAAGATTATGATGGCTTTTGGCTTTTCAAAAAAGTGTCATTTTACCTGAACAAATATTCACTGGCTATATTTCTTTGTTATTAATAATAGGTAAAATCACAAGCTAACAGAGACACAGGTAACACTGTGGGCAACAGAAAAGAAAGTGTCCTCATTTTTCACTGCGCTGGAAATAAGGCAGCATTTAGATGGTATCAACAACCCTTGAAGCACTGTCAACTATTTTATTTTTGTAAAATTTAGTTTGGTTTCCACTTGTTAGATCCTTGCCTATAGCAAAAAATTATTCAACCATATATTACTTATTTGTAGAAAAGGTGAATACATTCACTATTTTCAAATAGCTGTTGCAATATAACTATTTGAATTTCATGTTAGTTTACATCAAAAGCCAACACTGAAATAACTACTTTGCACTTGAGGAAACTACTCTGCATTTACACAAAATAAAAATGTCCCAGTTATGTTGTGACTTCTGTTTATGAGTTCTCATGTATTAATGAAAAAAAATACACAATACCCCATTCTAGATATGTTTACCCACCACAATCAGGAAATGAAAGGGATACTTATGACTAAAACACTTCCGCTAAAGAATTAAAGGAAAAATAATAGAACTGCTAATCCTTACAAAATGATGTTGAGCAAATCCTTTTTATTCTTCCATCCACTCATTTGTAACATGACATTTTCTGACTGGATTTCCTGCTAATGATGCATTTAACAAAGGCAATTAAGTGCTCTTTCTGCTTTTCATTAATGCTAAGTAGACAAAATGAAAACTGATAATCACCACCAATGGTAAGTGGTTTCCCCTTGCCCTCCAAAATGCTGGGAGATGGACTGTCAGAATAGTGAAATACACTAGGAAATGAAAGGAGTCATAAGAGCAAATGAGAAGCCACCTGGAGGGACAGCTCAGGGAACTGACTCACAGAGACCACAAAGACCTGTCTGTGCCAAGCTTAACACTGGACCTGTCCAACCACAGTACTAGCTGGGGTACCAATGATTTTACTGTTTCACATACTTTCGGGAACAAGCCTTATTTTTGGATAAAAAAAAAAAAGTTTTAGAAAATGAAACAGTGTCTTAAGCTCCAAAGAAAAATGCAAACATTCAAACCACAGGTGCAATAGCCACAAAATATCTTATGTGTCTTAGACAAAGATAATAAAATTTGTGCTTATAAGGGAAGCTGAAATGACAGTAAATCACTAAACTTATCCGTATTTCTTCACCTCTGAAAAGTTAGGAAAAAGTATTTTAAACTGCATGTTTCAATTTAAATACAGACTGACTCATCTCTCACTTGGCAAAGTTTATAACTTTTCCAGGCTATCTGCAGTTAGTTTTAGTTATCTATTTGATCTTAACATCTAACAAACAACATTCTCTTCAAAATGCTGCACATTTACCTTCCAGCAACTTGGTTTATTTTAGGAAACTTTTCTAATATATCTTCCAATAAATTCTCTGGTCAATATTTTCCTTGAAATAAGGTTCTTTTCTTTAGGTAAATCAATTGCCTAATAATCTTTATGATGATTTAAACTGTTTTAATCCCTTTGGTTTTTATTCTCTTTTGCTTTCTCTGGAGTTTTCTACAGTTTTCTCCTTATGTCAATAATTGAATTTTCAGACCACTGAAGTCTTTACTGTAATTTCCAATATATTTATTAATTCTGAACGGGTGTTGTTTTGCTCTCACGGCATGCCCTTAGTTCCATATATCTCACTTCATCTTATTTTACTTACTGTCTTATATTAAGTTTGATCTCTTGCTCTAACAAATTTAAGACCTTAAAGAAAACTTCTGTTCTTGGGAGACTGTTTTTTTGTCTTTCTTGTTCTCAAGTCTTTTTCATTACTTGAGATCATGGAAGAAGGGTGAGTAGGTAGTCCAGAAATGAGAACTCAATTTTTTTCTGAGTTGTGGTCATTCTTCCAGGATTTCGTTTCATATATGTGTATGTCACGGTTTGATCATGTTCACCTTCCTGTCTACACAATCTTGCCTTTCCCTCTCTTTGCAATTCCTTTTCCCTTCCTTAGTAAGTAGCTGTTCCACTTTCAGGTCATCTCACACACACCTCTACCCCCAGTTTCCACATATAAGAAAAAACACACAATACTTTTTTCGTCTGGCTTATTTTAATTAATGTGATGAATTGGTCCATTTTTGTCTATTTTCCTGCAAATGGCATAATTTTTCCTTTATGGCTTCAGGTATACATGTAACACATACATGTATTTTTCTTTATCCACTCATCTGACACCAGATATAAGATAGTGTCACGATAAACACTAGTGTACATGTACCTTTTCTGCATGATGACTTTAATTCCTTTAGACAAATATTCAGGAATGGTATAACTGGATCATATGGTAATTCTGTTTTTAGTTATCTGAGCAAGCTCTTTATTGTTCTTCGGAGTGGATGTACAGTTCCCACCAATGATGTACGTGGCTTCCTTTTGCTCCCCATTGCATTTTTTTTCATAGCAGCCATTTGGATGGGTAGGGTGGAATCCCAGTATAGTTTTGATTTGCATTTCCTGATGGCTAAAGATACGAATCATTTTCCATATATTTATTGTCCATGTGTACTTCTATATTTCCAATAAGTATATAAATTACATGCCCATTTTAATTCCTTTAATGTTTTTTGATATATCATGGATATTAATCCTGTATCAAATAAACAGCTGGCAAAGATTTTCTCCTGCTCTCTTCAATCTGCTGTTTCTTTTGCTAAGGAAAAGCTTTTTAAATTAAAGCCACCCCATTTGTCAATTCTTGCTTTTATCCTGTGTTAGTGAAAATGCTGCTGCTTTCTATTTACCATCTTATGAGTCCAGAATGCTATTTGGTTTTGTTTTTCTTAGCCACTATTCAGTGTGGAAGTGCTTGGTGCACACCAAGGGTGAAACATAACCTTTTCTCCCTAAACAGGGAGAAGGGACAGTCAGATTAGGAAGGAAGGGGAAGGAGTCAAAGCAGGAATCAGCCAACTACTGAAAAAAACATTCTCCAAATTGTCAGTGTCACTGGAAATGGCTAAAAACTAAGCAGAAACTGATGCATCAACAGGTCAAAACTCTAAATGTAGGTTCTTTCAGTAGTTAGCAGTCCACTGAGGAATGATACCAAAAGCAGCAATGTTTCCACCATCAGAAAACACAGCATGCTGAGCTTCCTAAAAAGCCAGCGCTGCCTCAGTTGGACAGGAGATCGTAAGCAGGAAACCTTGGGAAGGCCACAAAACCAGAGCTGCACAAGCTGAAAGGTGGGAAAACATGAGCTCAGGTCCCCCGGTTCTGTGCGCTGAAGGCTTTCTCATTTGGGCTCTCATGTTTCTTTAAGAGCAACACAGAGTTCATGGGAATCCTACCAGCAGCTGTTTTCCAGGACCACTGCTGGAGAACACAGTAAGTAAAACTAAGCAAGATTCTTGAGTTTGGAAACTGTCTGGGTTGCTGGTTAAAATGACAACCTTCTTAAGGCTGGTAGTAAGTATGGAGAAATATAAACTGAGAAGTCCTCAAAATCCTGCTTTGACTAAATGTAAAAAAATTTTTTTTCAGACTTTTGCAGACATAGCAGTACAAAAAACTTCAGATCTCTTTTGGACTTCAGGGACACAAGACTTCTTTGCTGACAACTGACAGCAGTCTGGACCAAATTATTGTGCCAGTGCTAAAAAGGCTGTCCCAAACTCAGGCAGAACAGCAGGCCTCAGACCTGGCTTGTGACAAGATAGCCTGTGAAACGTCTGCCAAGCTTCTGCTGAGGTTTCCGGCTTCCCCAGGAGTGCTGAGCTTATTGGGGAGGGTAAGATGACCCTTCTCTTTGCATTCTTCTCAACCTCAAATTCAACATATACTGTATGTTGTAATCTGTAGCTGGAAATTCAGGACAATTTTCAATATGAGAATAGGCTAATTATGGCACAGCCAATTAACAGTACACAACCATTTAAAGTAACTACCAAGACTGCATAGCAATCTGAAAAGTATGATACATGAAGTATACGTGTATATTCTTTTCTTTCCTTAGGAGGAGGTCTGGCCCAGAGGCATAGATCTGGAAATACACAGTGAGAGGTGGTTTTGTAAAAGTAAATGATCAGTCAGATAGAATATGCTGTGGAGAGACAACAGGTCTTCCCCAGAAGCCTGAGTAACAGATACAATAACGATGAGCTAGAAATGGGAAAATCCAAGCCTTCAGTATAGATACATAGAATGAAACTTAACAAGAGGTCCCTGGGTTTATGAACATGAGAATTGGGAAGACACATCATCTCTGAGAGCACTATCAATGTGGTACAGGGGTCAAGGTCATGGCAGACTCAGGGAAGGGGTGAGGAAGGTAGAGGGCAGCAT